TTTCTGAACCTCTTATGTATCCGTATGATGAGGTGTTGATGGTATCATAAGAGCGATATACATTTTTTTTACTTAATCTAATAACGGTTATAGCTCGATTCTTATCAAATCATCACAAAAGTACTTGTTAAGACATTGTACTAAAAAAAATTTTTTTTTATAACTGTGTGCGTTTAATCATATAATATTTATATAAGGTATATAGAGTGTAGGCTAATTTTAAAATCTCAAATTCCTTAAAACGAAACATATACAATACTACTATAGGTAATTACTAATTACTATCAGTATAAACTATATTACAATTTATTATATTTTAGGTATTAAAAGCGGCTTAATTGCAAATTATATAATTATGATTTTAAATTTGGATAGTTCAATTTTAAAGCTTCAAACGTTCTCATAACCATAAATCTTGTTTTTCTGTTAATCTCTATGTATAAAACAGTAAGCTGACTGACTGATCTATCAACGCACAATTCAAACCATTGGACGGATCGGGCTGAAATTTGGTATACAGATAGCTATTGTGATGTAGGCATCTACTAAGAAACGATGTTTAGAATTAATAATTAAGGATACTTCTTGAAGTCTGATTTTAATGTATGTATGTATTTTTTATTGTCTGGAATATGTTCGTTAGGAAAAATGTTTAATTAAAAATGTGATTTGTCTACAATTCTAGGACATAGAAAATATGTCAACGAAATCATAAATACTTTAAAAATTAAAATCGGATCACAGAAAGTAAGTTTAATCCACTTACCGTGGTCAACATAGACGATGCAATTAATTATCCTGTTGAATTTTTAAATTCGTTGAAACTACCGGGTATACTATATTATAGGTTTATTATTTATTTATTTTTTTTATTTAAAAGATTTACAGGCTTCCACTGCTAAGGTTATTAGCCAATATATGGCTTATTGTGCGTGTGTTCACACCTCTATTATGTTGTTGCGAAATTTTAAACCACTAAAACTGTGCAACGGGACCAGGCTTAAAGTCAAAGCCTTACATCACAAACATCACAATATAGTGGAAGCCACAATTTTAACTGGATGTGCGTAAAGGGAAACTGTATTTGTACTTCGAATTCTTTTAATTCCGAACGAATTCGAATTTAAACAATTACAGTTTCCCCTCAGAGACTTTTTTGCAATAACTATAAATAAGTCTCAAGGCCAGATTCTCAAATTTATAGGAATAGACTATTGCGAGAAAATTATTTTTCACATGGGCTGTTCTACGTAGCTTGTTCATGCGTAAGATTACACAGTAGCTTGGCGATTTTGGCTCTTACTAATAAATCAGCGAAGAATTATATTGTCAACAAAAAAGTTTTGTAGATAATATTTTGAATAACTATTAGTAAAATATTTATTTTAAACCTTCATCGCAAAAATGATCGCAACGAATCTACAACTAAAAGCTATAACTAATAGAATAGGTTATGATAATAATAAAATTATCTTAATAACAAATTAATACGTATCTATGAAGTATTATTTCAACAATCTTAATTAAATTTTATTTAAATAGAATAAATAATATTTAATCTCGCCAGATTACATACATTTTTATACTTAAACCCTCAGTTTTGAGTGACTTTCAGTGTTGAAATGACTCAGCAAGTACGAAAAAAAACTATGATGAATAATAACAATTAGAAAAAGGCATTTGATTGTTTATACTTAATATCATTAATAATCAGAGTACCATTTATAGATGGAAGTGCAGGGTGGACACTATACATTTGCATCAAATTTTTTAAAACACCTTCAGCTTGCCAAAACTAAAATATAAGCACCGATATCAGACATTTATTCAATACTTTTATAATTTTTTTTAAACATTTTTTATTGTATACAATGAAATATATTTCATTTAAACAACTTTTTGATGTAGTTCGATAATCTAAAGATAAAATTGATAACATAAATATATTATCTATACATTTAGTATGAGTGCATGAACTGCCAGTTTTTTGTTTTTATATTTATATTTTTTTTTTTTATCATTAATTATTAAAATAAACAATCTGTAAATATTATTTTACACTTGTAAATATTTATTCAACTAATTAGTTATTATTTAAAATTATTAAAAATTCTTTAATTTATTATAATATATATTTTATGAGTGTATATACTATTATGAACGAAAAAAGATGAAACATGATTTTTGTAGCTACACAAATTATAATTTTAATAGCAATTAAAGAGATACTCACCGGTTTTAAGGAGTTTTGTAGTAGATATATTATGAACATTATTCTGAAAAAACGTGTCCTTAGGAAGTTATTTAATGTAAGTGAATCGTTATTAAAATATTGTAAGAAAAATTGTATTTTGTGGTTTTATGAGATACGTTTAAATCTTCAATTTCATATCCCAAAGAAAAAAATTAATTGTATTGTCTATATGTATTCATATTTTGCTTTTGTTCGATAAAACGAAAATAATATAGACTTTACACAATATGTACGTTGCAAAGCACAGTCCTTATTTAATGTAGTGTAGCAAGATCGTTGAATACAAATTATGACTTAACATAAAGTCTCTATATTGTGTTATAGTGTCAATTTATTGATATAAATTCATAAACATAAATTAAACATTGTACAATGTACTATAAGTACACGCAATATTCTAATTTGTAGTATATTATTGTCATGCATACAGGTACACCACAACAATATTATTACAATATCGTATGTCCTTCGTCGAACTATAGACATTGACCAACTAAAATATTGCCGGTACCACAATATTTTATTACTATTATTATCATAAATTTGGCCATGAAATTTTAAACGTAATGTTACAATATAAAATTTGTATAATCAATGAAAATAACGACAGATTTTTCTAACCTGTAAAATGTTAACTCGTATACAAATAGGTATGTAAAATGACGTGATAATAGTAGTTGTCATAGCACGAAAAACATTAAATATTCACTTTTATTATATTCCATTTTGTCGTTTGAGGGGACTTTTATTTTTATTTTTTAAAAACTTCTTTAAAATTAACAACATCGTTAAACTAAATAATAACGTGGTTATTATACGTATGACAAATGATAATCTTAGTTTTACCTACGTAGTTGCGTGTAGTTTTATTATTTGATCAAGACCGTCTAAATAAATTATAGTACCCATCAGCCTTCAGTTAGGTGTTTACAGTAAACGGCGTAGCTTTGTTTGTAATTATCCGCTTGAAACAAACAATACATGTGTTATATTTGTAAATATGTAAATGTATAAACACGAATCAAATTTAAGAAATATTCGTAAATAAATTTACACGAGTATACAATTTGTTTATTAGTAAGTAGGTACATTGTTCTTATATTTTACGCAATTAATAAGTGAAGCTTGGGTAACTCATTTGAAAGAGTTGAAGCATAGACTTCATTTTTTTTCATGATCGTCAACGATTATTAATGTGAATTAAATATAACTATAATACTTTGAATTAAAAAACTTAAATATATTTCTATGTATAAAGCATAGTTGACATATTTATTGAACAATTATAAAACTATTACATATTTTATAATAAGTATAGTCCAAGTTTTTTTTATTAAGTAATACTCCGCAATAGGTACAATATTATGGTTTCTTAATAAATATTTGAAATGTAATACAAGTTCGTTTTATTGCACTGATAATCCGTTAGTAATCATTTTATTTTGTACGAGTATAATTACTTTTTAATCCTACGTCTGTTCTGTATTTCTTTAAAGCAGTGGTTCCCAACCTGGGGGGCATGCCCCCCTTGGAGGACGTATACACATCGCTGGGGAGGCGCAAGCAGTCATCACAAAGTAAAATGTTATTTTATTTAAAATTCCACTATAATACTATATTATTTAAAATTATTTATATTTTATAATTACTATTATCAATAAAAAAGTAGTCTTTCAGAATATTATATAGTTTATTTGTAAAATGTAAAGTAAACAATAAAATTATAATTTTTTCAATTTATAGGTAGGGGAGGGGGGTGCGAGATTTTTGAAAGGGGGCGTAGAATAAATAAGGTTGGGAACCACTGCTTTAAAGTAAAATAATTCATACTGTAATGAACAATACATATTATGTTTGAGTAATCGCATTACTTACAATAAAACGTAACTTAAGTAACATATAAAAATAAACAAATTATCAAATAGGTTTATGCATAAATCAATATTAATTGGTTCGTATTATAGCGAACTATCCTGAGTAAGTCAGCTGGTAATAATATTAAAACTGTCAAAAACATAACTTTTTTAAATTTGATGAAAATATATTTAGCTCTGACCAAAAATAACATCGATTTAACTTACGTCAAACGTTCAATAACTACGTTCTTGCCTGATATTTGACGTCCTAAGTAGATTTGTTAGTACGTTTGCGGAGATTTTAGGATTACGCAGGATTTAGTATTGTATTAAAGATTATTATATTTTTATGTGATGAATGAAAAGTATTTAACAGCGTTACTAACATCAATGGACTGTGACGATAACTAGGTATTGTTATCTAGATTTTAGTTATGATGTAACACATCTACTACGTACACGTGTCTATTATAGTTTAACGCTATAAATAATTATATTGATACTAAAAACAAATTGGTATAAACAAATATAATTTTCAAATGTTATAACTGTTGTAAGTTAAAACTTTTTAGCCTTTGACCTATTGACAAATGTAGTTACTTTATTTGTATAAATGAATATTATTATGTGAAATATCACCTTATAAAGTGCAATATTTCAACCATTGACCCCCCTATTCCAATGTATTCTGATATTCATGAACAGTACCTTGTATTTTATTATAAACAAAGTTAACAAAATATATAATGTAATAAACTTAATTCATTTATAAATTATAATGCAGTACACCTATAAAATATAAAGTACAATTTAACCACACGTAAACATTATAACATTTACAAAAAAAAGTATGTATTCATTATTTAGAATAATTACGAATAGGTAAATGAAAATTCATACATAAATATTAAATTAAATTTAGGTTTTTAATTTAAATTTATAGAAAATAATCAGGATGAATTAATTTGAACGGTTTTTGCTAGTGAAAGACGGATTTCTTCAGCATTCTTGTTGTTGGTCTCGGGTATAAAAAACAATATAAATAGATATCCGAAAACCGATATGATTGTGTAGCCCAACCACAAAGCCACGGGCCATTCGTCAACCAATGTTAAAAATGTCTTCATCACTATGAATGACAATATCCATGAGTACGAGACAATGCAAGACTGTGCGCGATTAGAGTGATCGGCTCCGATCAGCTCGGTGGTGATGAACCATGGTATCGGTCCTAATCCGAGCCTGAAGAACGAGATGAACGTACAGACTATGATTATCGGTAGTATTTTCAACGAGTCATCCAACATACCTGCAAACAGCGCCAAAATATTATATAATATTAATCTACTTATGTCATTTAGATTTAAGTACACCTAAATCAACGTCCATATAATGGTAAATGGTAATAAATAGAGCAAAGACTTTCATGCACTAAAAATCATCAAATATTCATTTAAAAATATGCACTTATGCATCAAAAAATTTAAAATATGCAATTAAATATGCTCTCAAAAAAATGAATACACTAAAATTTATAGCTCTAAAAATTATATTTTTTCTTTAAATATTTAATTTTAATAATTTTATATTATCTCTTTATATTATATCACTTTATTGTAATCTAATCTACAGATTCGCAACTATGATAAAATGAGTTTCTTTCGTCTTAATGAGAATATAGAAACAGTTAAATATAATAATTTGTGTCCTTAATCACAAAAAATATTCACTGAAAAACACGATTTTCGAAAAACCTTCAAAATATGCACTAAAAACTTTGAGATTTTGGTCACAAACGTTGTGAAATATATTGTGTTCTTACTCTGCGTACAAAAACGGAAAAAGTAAACCAGAAAAAATATGCAAATGCATGAAAGTCCTTGTTCTAGTAATAAAGATGTCAGGTTTTTAATATTGTCTAAAACGTGCGTCATAAAATCAAATACTTTTATACAAGATATACCATAATATTATGATTGTATGAAATATTGTTATTATTGTAAACAGATTAGTATTAAGATGACATATAATTTATGGTTATGGTTTGGAAGTAGAAGAAATTTATCAATTGTTATTGATCGTTAGAACTTATATTTACGACGCGATAGTTAAATTACACTCGCGTACTTACGTTTAATGTTACAAAATAAACGAGTAAAGAACTAAAGAGTAACTAGTTGTGATCTTAATTAACAAAACAAAATATAAAGTAATATACAAAATTATTTTATTCGTTTTATTTTTATAATGAAATGAATTTTTTTTTTATCGCAAATAAAGAAGAATTTTATCAGGTGTAATTTATCATTTTATTTTTTTTGGTAAAAAATAATTACATTTTTCTATAAAATACAACTACAACTGATAGATTTCCGGATTTAGTAAAATTCTAATTATTGAATACTCGTATGATACATATTTAAAATATTTTTTGAATGCGCGCGTCGATTCGCACAAATTAGTAGGTACATAATCTCAATATGTAAAATGGTAACCACAAGCCACAGAAACATAATATAAGAATTTTTACAAGGTATCGCATTGATTAAAATTGATTGTGAACTTTCATTATTTATTTTTTTCAGAAATTCTCAAAAACAAAAATATTAAGGAGCATAACTACAACGGATTTTAGCAGATATTGTCATGGCGCAAAAGCAAAATATTATAAGAGTATATGTTTATTATAAATAGGTAGTACGAACCATTATTCAAAAAATAGAAGTACATTGTCAACAAGGCCAAGCACGTCACCACAACTGAGGACGAGATAAGAAGAAGTCTTCGACGGCCGATTATGTCGATGAGAAAAATGGTGAGGCCCGAACCGATCAGCTGGAAAATGCCGGTTATTATTGATGCTGTGCTGGGTGCCACTGATGACCCAGATATGCTGAAAAGTTTAGTCGTATACTGTATAATGGCTCCGGCACCTGACATCCTTTGCACAGTAGCCAAAGCCAACGACAGGACGATTGCCTTCACGAAAGCTCGACTGAAAAAATATATTATTATATTGTAATACTGTCACAGTTTTCCAAGAATATTTAAACAAATCGACCGTACTCTCTTCCAGCGGGTTGCAAGTGCTTCTCGATAGGAAGTGCGTCGTCTTCGGTTTGCAGTTTCGCGAACTCATCAAACGCCGTAGTAACGTCGAAGTCCTCACCGTACAGCCATCTGAATTACGATAACATGCGTCATATAAAAATCTTCATCGTTACTCGCGCATGATAATATTGTACCAGCGATCGCTTAAGAAACTTCTTTGTAGGTACCGATCGGTTTTTTCTAATACAATCTCATACCAAAATATACACTCATTAAAACATTAATTACTCTGTCAGCTGCATTTAGTGATAACACGAGACCACTAAACACACACGTTTAAGTAGATATTGCCTAAACTAAGCTCCTTAAAACTGTGATTAACTCGATAAACCGATATTAGTGGGAGCCGCTCGAGTGTACTCCGCTTATTCACGCATAATATATTTTCTAATAAGTTTGATAAGTTTAATAATAAGTTTTCTCGACAATTAATTTAACGTAGTTTTTAGTTGAAATAATTTACCGTTTATTATTATTTATTTTTATAAGAATTCTTTGTTTTAGTTTTGTGTTTTTGTGTGTTATAATGTAGGTACGAATAATATCGAATTGTAAAAATGAACATCAATGGTAAATTGAATACAAATATGAACTCCTAACTTTCCTATCAAACAAAAAAGTGGATTATTTTTTAGATTCTGGTTCTATTATTGTTGATACCTGTTTTTAACTATAATAATGTTGGCACCAAAGCATTGCCAAAATATTTTATAGACATTTCGACAAAGAGAAAAACAAATGCGGTGTTCTCCACGGTGTACCGAAATGTACCCGTATTTAAAGCTCAAAATCCGCACGTGGCGTACGCCGTCCACTTATATCTCAAACACGAAACTCAAACACTGTCTCTACCCCTTCACCGCCACTCGAGTCACATCCCTACTTTACCGCAGTGCATGATTGGCTATAATTATTAAGGGTGGTCATACATGAGAGCTGATCTGGTGTCCACGTAGCGCCCTCGGCTGTACAGGTACAATGGCGATTCGGGCATGCGCCAGAAAATTGTGCAGAACACCACCGGAAAGACGGCGCAAGTGAACGCGAACGTGGGCAGGTTCAGCAAGGTACTGGCCACGTACGAGTACAGGATGCCCACGCACAGCATGAAGTCGAGGAACACGCCACCGCGGCCGCGGCACACGTCCGGCGCCACGTCGAAGTTGTAAAGCGGCACCGCCACCGTGACGGCGCCTAGCGACAGCCCGCACAGGAAACGTCCGGCTAGAATAAAATTCACCTGCGGACGAATCATACATATTATTATTGTCATTGGCAGTGTCATGACACTATTACTCGTACACTGCACGATAAAATAAAAAAAAAATGACGAATGAAGGTATAGAACCACACTTTGAACGCACAAAGTGGAAGTTACGTACTCGTTTATAAAAAAAAACGTGAGAAATCATGATATGTATGCGTGTTAAATTGACAGAAAAAATTGTATCTATTTATAGTTGGTAAAACGTAATAAAATTGAAAATGTTTAATATATAATATACATTTATTTTTAAATTTAAGACTGCACAATGTTTGATCATTTATCACGACACACATGTATTAATTTATTATACACTCACGCTATTCACGAAGAACGCGATTAACAGCCATCCAACCGTCATAGGAATCGCGAGCGACAGAAGAAACTTCTTGCGTCCGAAGGTCCGCGATAACCCGCCGGCCGGGAGCGCACCCACAAAGGCGCCGATCACATATATGGACACGATCCACGACGACTGGTTCGTGGTTTCCATCATGAACATTTTATCGCCGACGGTTTCGGGATGTTTCGGGGTCGTCCAACCACCAACCACGGTTCCCGAAGCAAATGACATCATGGAAGCTTTTGACAAAAAAAAAAAAATAATTAATTTCAGCATCGAAGACGAATGATAGTGTATGTGTATAAAATGTTATTTATAATATTGTAGTCTGTAAATTGGTACATTAGTAAATTAGTTTATACCAATATGTATATGATAGTACTAAAATATCAAACACATTGAACAATTAATTATGCATCAGATGGTGGTGTATTGAACATTTTAAATATGTCTTACAATACAAAAAAAATTAAATAATAATTTTAAAAGTTCAAATTTTTTAAATAAATTCCGATGATAAACATAAAATTACAATTTATGATATCCTATATTGGTTTTAATAGTTTTAATATCTAAATACAATTGAGTATTTATAGTAATATATGCTAATAAGAAACATATTTTTAGCAGTGAAAAAATCAGTTAGAAGATAAAAAATAAATAAAAGAGATACAAGTAGATGACTATCTCTCAAACTGGATCATAAGCATACTACCTTTAGGTATGCTACCTTTTGAACTGCAAAGAAATTAAAAAAAAAGCGAATTTATTTAACGCTCTATATGATTTATATGTTCATCTTAGTAACGAATGATGTAGCAATAGTAATCGATAACTGGTGTAATAAAATAAGCGTCTTACGAATTTTAGATGGTCCACCGGCCGAAATATAAGTGAAACTGGCTCTAATAATAAAGCATTGTTACGATCATACTACAAGCCCAATATCCTAAAAGTAATGAATCTTATGCTAAAAACTTACAAGTCAAACATTATCACATCAAGGTATACATTAAAGATCATTACAGTGTTAAAATATTATGATAAACTTACCGAGAAAACTCGCCAATAGCGAACGCCGAATTGAAGTTTTTTTCGACGAGAGTAGTGGTTGTTTTTCCATTACGCCACTGTACGACGATTCGAACCACATAGTATACAATACACTGTTGTATTTGTCCCTCTTGATTTTAATTTACTAAAACGGTGACAAAATAATTATAATATAATATGTTACATTTCCACAAAATAGATTGAATCACGAAACACATATTTTAATTTTATATAGGAATGTTATAATAATTTAGGTACACATAATTCTTATACTTTAAATATTATTTAAAATTTCCAAAGCACTAGTGTTTACACGAGCATAAAATGTATTTAGTAATTTTTCTATACAATTTTTGTACTAAAAATTAAAATATTAATATTATTCTATTAATCTTATACAAAACATGCATATTACTATAATTTTATTACCTATTTATTAGATTTTCTTGTCGTAAATCAAAAATATTTATCACACTTTACAAAAATATAATAAATTATATACACATTATGTGCGTCAACTTTAAGGTTGCTATAATCTATCTATTATACGTAAAAAAGTAATTTAATTAAAACATAATACAGATGAATAAACTACATTAATTGAATTCTTAGTATTAAGGTAATAGTATTGTTCATTAAACAAAACAATTATTTGAATTTACAAAGAATAAAGTCTGAAAGAAAGTAAACAGTTTATATTAGAATGATTTATAGTATAATATTAAACAACAGTACCATTAAAATATATATACATTTTTTTTTTATTTATTTTATTTTAAAAGTCTGGCAGCAACTAAGGCTGCTATTAGCTGTGGATGGGAACAGGTTTTTTTTTGTATAAGGTTTGGTTAGTAGGGTTGGAACACGTGTGTGTATGTGCCATGGATTCGTCACTAAGAACTCAAGTGGTCACCCATCCGAGAACTATCGACGCCGGTTTTGCTTGACCTCAGAACACAATACACATTAGTGACTGAGGTCAACCACCACGCCACAAAATAGATATTATAATAATATATATTATATAGAAATTATGTTTTGAAATTTTATATAAGTTTTGAAATTAGTTTTATTATAATATAATATATTATTAGTTTAATAACATACATTGTTTAGCTCATTTTATATTTATTAAATAAATAAATAATTTATACTTTGTTAAATAATAATTAATAAATTTATTTATATTAGAAATTTATGATAAATAGTCTGATCTACTAACTTATAATTTATTATTGTTAACTCTGAAAAAGTATCCATTTATTGAGTACCTAAATCGCATTAATTATCAAGTGTTTATATAAAATATTACAAAATCTATGGCAATACAAAATAATTTATGATTAGCTAGGTAAATATCAATAAATAAAAGTATAAAACTATTATTTCCAATTTCTGAAATAATTTAAACACTTAAATAATTCTTGGTTTTTCTTTGAGAGTATGTCTAGCAAATTGTAATTAATAGTGTACAAAAAAACATAAAAAAAAAAAAAAAAATGTTATTCTTAGTTATTTCAAAATATTATTAAATATTATTCTTTTCATTTCAATATGAATAACAACAAAAGTTATTATTATTTTTTTTTTTTTTTGGTATTTATTCATTATCAGCAATATTAAAAATTATGTAAAAAAAATAACAGATAAATATTTTGGTATCAATTCAATAAAGGTAAAAATATTTAAATATAGAAGTCTGACTTTTTTTCATATTTACGTACAATAAAAGTAAAATAACATTCGCGAATTCGCGATGATTGAAAATTTAACATTTATGATTTTTATACGATACTCTCGTATTGTTATTTTCTATTAATTTGTTTAATTTTCTAACAGTTAGCATTTGTATAGTTCAATAATTACATAATGTTTAACATATATACTTATGTAGTATATACGTATTTAATGTAAAACACTAGAATAAAGAATTTACGTTACCTTAAAATTTAAAAACATTTTTTTACATTATTATTTGTACAATATTGTGCAATACTTAGTATTTGTATAGTTTAACAGTTGCATAATTATATACATACATATGGTGTAAGCGTATCAATAAAAAAAATAGAATAATAAATTTACATATTATAATTCTTTACGATAAACATTAATTATCGTTTTTCGGTTTATCTTAACCTTTGTCAGTTATTAATAAGAAGTAAAAATCAATCAAACTTTTCAAACATATCAAACGGATTATCTACAGTTATAAAAATTATTTCTTTTTAAATGAATAAAATAAGAACATGACTTATTTTTAATTTTTTTCTATAATTTTAGCTCTCACTTTATTTACATAGTTTTAATTAAAACGTTGTATTGTGTACACATCACATCATATCTAGTTAAAAAAACATATTCATATGTAGCTGGTAATTAAAAATATTAGATATTTATTATTTATTCATTATATGTGTAATAAATGTAACTAAAAACAATAAACTATTCCGAAACCACTCACTAAAAAGTAACACTAAATCCCATGTACAATAATGGTAATATGAATTATTTGGATTTAGTTAAGAATATTATGAACAATTAGTAAGGTAGGTAAACAGAAACACATAAAAGAAAATATATAGCGAATTTATTATATTGCAGATAGGTAAATAGATACTGTAAATAACAGTATAAGTAATATACTTTCGTTTAAGTTACAATAATTGATAAATCCACCTTCATTAAAATCGAAAGGTATGACTTTTCAATGCATATAATATTATGTAATGTAATAAATGCATAATTCAAATAATCATTACTATGCCGTATTACGAGGTTCGACATATTTGCACTTTAAAAAAATAACGCTTTATAACACACGGTGAAATAACGTAGTACGTACTTTTATACTTCGCAGAAATGAAGTCGGTAATAATGTCACGCGATATTTAAAGTCCCAAACGTGCAGGTATTGCAAAACAACGACATTTCTGATATTGAGGCATGCGAGATGCGACTGCGATTCCTATGACCGATTTATAATATTTTGAACAAATTTTAACGGATACTGTTCTGGAAATCTTTCTACTCACAATATTTTAGTAATCGTTCACGGTGCAAAATTCACGTGACGATGCGGCGGCGAAAAGTTTAACAGTGATTCAATATCAATTTCGACGGATTCGGCCGTCTAAAATATTCTGATTAAAGACGATTAATTTTAATATTCAGAACTCGTCTTGGCAGCTGGACTGTGTACACATCACAAGCACTGAAACACACAACCTACAAACTATTTTATTTTTGATGATAGGTATGTATATATGTATAATGGCAATAGGTATAAACTGTACTCCGGCCGGCGATTACGTTTCATATGCTTTTTCAGTAGTTGAAACCGGTTTGAACGCTTGATAGGAGACGTATTTGGCCCTGAGTTTTTCGTGAAAGGTTTTGTAATTTTGTTGCGTTGGAGAAGGCATCGTAAACAGAGTTGCCAGTTTGGATATTAACTTATTACCTGTAACGTGAAGAAATATTCCCTGATTTTGAAAAACGCGTTACTGATGAATTCGTGATATGTCCCGAGAACATAATTTTCAATAGATCTTAACTTTTCCGCGGTCTCTGTACGAGTAATTTTAATATGCTTACGTGATTGCCTACCAAATGACTAATATTAATATGGCTTATTTATTTTTCTTTACGTCGATTCACTAATTCACAAGTCCGACAAAAGTATACATCTAAAATGTACATACGTTTTTAGTTATAATGATAAATGATAACAATTTCTATTATTATTTATTAGTTTACTATCTAAAAGTTTTGACGTCTTTATAGAGGACTATATAAGCTTATATTTCAAATGAGATTCATCTTTTTCCTAAAAATTGTATAGAAAGTTGAAAATGTTTATGTTTCTTGATAGTAGGTTTTGGGTTTTCAACTTAATATACTAATAAAAAATAACACAGATGATATTTCAACGGTTATAAGTTTGAAAGATGAATGCAATTTGATGATTTGAAAATTGCTAATTGATATTATAGTCAATTAACATTTTTAATTTGTAAAGATTTTCTAAGTATAATGAGTACTGATTAAATATATTGTATTATACATACGCCCAACCAGAGTCAAATATGAGTCAAATCATTTAATATACAAGTAATAATATCAATTCTTAACATTTAAAAAAAAATTGAATTTATTAATTACTAAAGAAAAACATGAAGGTGAGTATGTTTGGAGAATCATCCTGTGTGACTGTGTAAGGAAATCCTTATTCGATGACTTTATTAAAAACAATTACCTGATAAATGGTAAGTTAAATATTTAAAAAAAATCAACTATTATACGTACTACTAATATTTCTATGAATCAGTCAGTTTCTGTGTTCAAATAATATGTCGATTATGCAAAAATTATTGTACGATAAAAAATTATAGGAAGATCTAACTTATGATGAATTTTTCACTTACCAATCAAAACTTAATCAAAAAAATAATATATCATCCTTGTGCATTATGACGCATGATTAAATAAAACTTAATGTGTATTATAGTATTAAGTTAAAGAGGAAAGCTAAACGGAATTGTTCATAAATTATTATTCATAATTGTATATAAAAATATACAACGAAACAATAATAATTTTAATCGTCTAACCTAGCTTTTTATAGTAAATAGTAATAATTATTGTCATATTTTGAGATAACAGTTTTAATAATAACACAATATAGAAGTAGACATTGCATATTATTAAAAATATATGCAGTATTAATTAGTAAGATACACAGACAAAATTGATTATTTCACAAAATAAGTAGGTACGATAACAGGAGTAAATTCTTTGGATTCGTTATGGAATACACAAACAGGAGTAAATATACATTTTTCAATCATTATTGATTATAATGATTGTTTTTAAAATAGTTTCTTATAAAGATAAAATTCTTTTTAAACTGCAAATCGAAATAATTAGAAGTAAAAATAACATTCATGGGTAATACTGTGATAATGTTGTAAATTAATTAAGAATTATCAGTTTTTTTACTTACGTATATTATATATAATGAAAAAAGTTTAAGAAGTAATAAAATATATAATAATTTTAGGAATTTTCTAGACATTAATGATTTTCTTTTCAAAAGTTCTATTTATATAGTTTGTATGTCTATGCATAAGTTTAAATCAACTAGCCGTATAGCAAAAATAATAATAAAAAAAATACTTTAAAACGTGCTGTTACATCGTAAAGACTTTAATTTTTTAATAGTATTTTTATAAATAGTATGATTTTTACAAATTATTATAATAATATGTAATAATTAGCTTTTATTTGTGCAGCGAAGCCATACTTGCACAATCTATAATCTATATTATAATGTTTATTATAATGTATATGTACTTGGCAAAACATTTGAGCATTTAACTCCAAGCGTTACTTGTTTACAGGGTATAAAATCATAACACGATTGAACAAATAATAACCGTAGATACCCAGAAATGTATTGTTATATGTTTGTCGGCAGCGAACTTAAATGTCCTGCGCAACATCGCAAACATTTAGGCAATTGGGAGGAGGATATGAATTTTTGAAATATGATTTTGTGGCGTAGTATAAAGAATGAAGATTTTTATTATAAATGATTATAGGATTAGAAGTGTAGGTTGTATATTACTCAAAGTTGTGTAAACATTTGTGAATATGACTAAATACGTTTTACAAGCTCATGACATCAACAATTTACATTAAGCAGTTAACATTCACTTTGATTATTTTTAATAATATAACAATAAATAATAATAATTATATGTAGTATAAAGTGTAAAGGCGACCATACATAACAGACTTAGTAAGTTGTATGAAAAATGGTTTTCTAGACCCTCAGCCGCTTACCCACATAACCGATCGACCACATTTCTTCAATACCTCTATCATATATTATATCTTTCCGTCTCTAAAATAATCAAAGCTGACGTACTTGATAATTTATAATAAAATAATATATTATTTGAATTCATATAAGTTACCATAATTAATCCTTTTTTTCAAAAATATCGTCACTGACACTACTACACACGCTTTAGAAATGTTGTCATCACATCTCATATATTATTATTCTTATTTTAAATCGTGTTTAGATACATGTATTATATACAAAAATTAAAATTAAAACCGGTCGATATATCGTATCTAAGTTGAAATGTTTTTTATCCATTACTTTCGCTTCGTATATCTAATAATAAAAAAAAACATCTAATAAGAGATTAATTAACGTTATGGTTAAATCAAGTATATATACATACAGTCATACAGACATCCGGTATATCGTCGTAGGTACTATTTACACACGCTGTCGCTATCATCGATATTGATTCTCATTAAATCATTAAATAAGTTACCTAAAAACCGTCTATAGATAATGTATTTATATAGATAACAAATAAAAATAAATATTGCTCATGAAATGACACCAGTCCATTCGAGAGACGTATTTTTTGATTGAAAAAAAAATCTCGTGTTAGTTTGACCTGCAACGGTTTACTATGCACTGAATAATTCTTGATATTTTTTATCTGATGGTCTCGCGTGAGTAACGATTTTTTAGTGAATCCTGATGGCTATTGTAAAGATATTATTGTTGCACAATTGTACGACACCTGCGATTTAAATGCTTAGCTACAATATTCCGTTCGGTCGTTTTTTTGGAATAGATGGCGCCATCTATATGTAAAATAGTTTGTTATTATTAAATTTTGACATTGAGCGTCTTGGTGACCACCATTTTATGACAAGGAGTAACATGAGCAGCATTTTGGTAGAGTGGGATGAGTAAAAACAATTGTCTCCCTCTGACATTTATCGAGAAGGCATATTATCAAAAGTTTTGTCCTAAGCGTTACATTTTTGTCAATAAAAAAAAAAAAAAATGATTGATTCATGATAGTGTATAGGTCATAGGATCTATGTTCCAATGCAATTTGGTTTAAAAAAAATTAATTCCTTCACTTCAATAGGTACCTTATTGACCATAGTTGTATGTTTTTCAAATGCTATCTATGAACAATAATAATATAATCATGTGTAAGTATATTTATATTATTTTTAAAAATAAATTGATTAATATATTATATTGAATGACAAATAGTGTAATTATTATAAAAATTCGCTTTGATTTATTATAATAATTGTATCATTAGATTATTAGTTAAGTTATTTTATCAAAGCTATTTTTGTTTTATCAGGAATTTTAATTTAAAATATTATATAAAAAAAAAAAGAAAGAGAGATTTTACTTACAGTCTTACACAACAGGTAAATAAATAGCTTAGCAATGTATTAAAATATACAAAAATTATGTTCTTGTATGATCATCATTACATATTTTTAATCTTACTTCTACTTGATTATGTTGTTTAAGATTAAAATTAACACTGCATGAATGTTGATTATAGCCACATAACTGCCGTTATTTTTGTAAAAGTATTATTTATCGCAAAATCACGTTTTTTCCACTGCATGTTTATTAAGATATGGTATATTGTTTTTAAACTAATAATATTTAGCCATTTAGTGAACATTCACATTTAAAATCGTTATTGATAAAATTTAATTTTATAAACAAGTATCAATAATTGTTTTATTGACCCATCATATATACATATTTTTAATGAACCTTATAATTTATACTGGAGTTTAGTCAAACACAGAATTTTATTAATAAAGCAAAATATTATTTGCTTGGGTCGCTTTTATTTAGGCTTTATAATTAAATCGTTAATTTATAATTTAAGCTAAAGAAAATATAATTTAGTAAAAAAAATTAAAGTGAGCGGTGACGATGGCTACTTAGGTAATGAGTAAACTTAAGTTAATTTCTATATTACTATTTATTACTATACAATTGAACCTAAATTATTGACATATTGAGATTTATAATAGGAAATAATTCATTACTACTCAATATAATCTAACATTGGTTCTAGCTACTAGCTAATGAACTTATATATATACATTGTTTTGTATAATCTTTTAAAAAAAAAATATGAATTATAGATAAAATAATACGTTTTGATTTGTTCAAACACTTCAATATTATAAATTATCATTGAAAACAATTTTTCGAATAATTCCACATTTTTTTGCCAACTTATGGAAATAATATTAAATATGTAATCTGGTAATATAATAATATTGTAAACTATGACGTAAATTATCAATAATAACATTTAAAAAAAATGTAAAAGACAAAAAATTTGATTCATATTGTCACAATAAATTATTAATATACATTTTTTTTCTCGTTTGGGAAAATTATATATATATATATATACAAGTTGATAAAATACTTATACTAAATCTAATCAGATGATAAAAAATATACAGATGAATGTTGAACATCGTCTTCTAAACGTCCAAAAATAACTTGATTATAAATTTACTATAATTAATGTTTAATCCATGATAGTTATTAATCTATTATTATTCTCGTGAAATGTGGCAAAAAATAATTTGACCACATATTATGATGTCTGAAGAAATATTTAAATAAAACAAAATATTATTATAGTTAAGTAACTTTTTCGCGAATTCGAATTTGTCTTGTATCCATCATTGATTCAGTTGAAGTTAACCATAAATAAATAATTTAGTTAAACTATTATGCATGTATTATAAAATTTATATAATTGTAAATTGTTAGTTTGATATAGGTACAGATGTCGTTTGAGAAACGGAAAGATACAATACACGACTGACACACACAGTATGTGACATATAATATACCATAATATATGATTTATACAATAATATTAAGTACTTGTCTATATAAATAAATAATAAAAAATAATAATGACAATAATTCATTAAATTTAGATTGTACGTTCCTTAAATAACTTATTGTAACGTAGGTACCTATTACTTTTGATTTATCTTTTATACGATGGTATTTTTTGTTACTTCATTAATTTTGTATTTACTATAGGTTGTAATCTGCTTATCACTTTAAACCACACACATATATCATATATGCAATAATATTGTACGATTATATTTTTTATTCAATAATTAATCGTTCATCTCGGTTTCTTGTTAATTATATTATAATTAATAAATTATAAGTTATAATCTTAGATAGATGTTGATCCAATAACATTGGTATGATATACTATAGGCACCATTGATAACAGTTTTAAATTTAAAATTTTTATTTTTGTTTGTTTTGTTTATTAAAAAATAAAAACCCTTGGCAGCTCAGATTCCAAATTACAACAAAAACATTGATGAGGTGAACATTTTAGATTTGTTGATTTTAAAAATAACAAAATGTATACTTAAATAAATAAAAAAGTACATTATATGCCTTCATAATTCAAAAAAACGAACAACAATATAACAATATTATGTGTTTTTAATTATTATAATAATTACACGCATAATAATCGTATTGATATTTAAAACTTATAAATAGTAAAAATTGTAACTATATAATACAAATTGTATACAAAAGCTTTTCATTTTTCTTTTTTTGGTTAATTGTGATTCACAATAATATAGTATAATAATCTTAACATCGTAAATGTTTGAAAATAAGTCTATATTTTGTTACAAAGTTTTTTTTTTTTTTTTAATTAAGTATCCTTTTTTTTTACTAACTTAACTATTGTTTTGAATTTTGCATTCGTGTAACAATTTAGTACTGTACTGTAAGTATATACAGACATACGGTGTATTATGAAGTTAAGACAACTTTACAATAAAATTACATTTGGCTATGTGAGATCGATGTGATACACCTTATATAATGTAACAATATATATATATATATATGTATAAACCCAAGCGATATCTCAAATCTGAAAGTTTGAAATGCTTTCTCCACTCGGGTGGCTCCATTCTATAAGCTTATCATTAGTTACGCCAAAGTTCGTGAAGACACTAGATACTGTTTAGATCAACCTATTTAATCAGATCAAGATGGATCTGTTCACGACTTTTGTTGTTAGTCTCGGGTACATAGAACAGCATGAACAGGAACCCGATGACCGATAACATGGTAAACAAACACCACAATAATACGGGGTTATACTCAAAGAGGATTTTGAATGACTTCAGGATGAAAAACGACAGGGTCCAGGAAAAAGATGCTGTCATGGATTGAATGCGGCTACCATACAAGGCCGGTGATAGCTCGGTGCTTATAAACCATGGGATGGGCCCCAGGCCCAACCGGAAAGCAGATATGAATATGCATAGGACAAACAGCAGGGACATCCTCCATGGTGAATCAGCTAGTGTTTCTAAATACATGATAAAATTTGCATAAAGATTTTAAAAAATACTATTTATGATTTTTTTGGCAATATTTATTACAAATTATTATGTTTAGAGGTATTTATGTTCTATACAGAAAATAGATAATAATCGACAATCGAATTTTCGATAAGATAGGGAAATAATCACATTACTATTTTATAGCAATCGTATAACATATTATTATCTTTTTCGATTCGATATGACGTTTTAGATAATACTATGCCAGCTAAATCAATTTGTATAGTATATATTTTGAAATGAAACTAATAATAATAAAATTGCACTCACCGTTTTCTATAAAGCTGAAGTAAAATATCAAAAATACGAGGCACGCGATAATGATCGCGGATGAGATCAATAGCAGAGTTCTTCGTCCGATCTTATCGACGAGCAGAAATGAAACTCCAGAAGCGACTAATTGGAATGTACCGACTATGATGCATGCCAAGTTCGGTTCGATGGTACTTCCGGATCTTTTAAATAACGTGACCGAGTACTGGATCACACCACCAGCGCCGGACATTCGTTGAACGATCACTAGGCCGAAAGAAATGATCGCCACCTTTGCTAGAAATTTCCTGAAACCATGGTTTAATAATACATTATTAATCCTCTTTAGCATTATTGTAAAAAATTAACCTAATACTTTGTGTGTTATTGAATTGAATTAAATCAGCCTAAAAATTAAAAAAGGAATCAAGCTAAGTTCAAGTCAATTTAAAAATATAAATTAATTCGAGTAACTAAATTACGTTACACATTTTTATAAAATAAAAACCTAAATTAAGTTCAAAGTTATTATTTTATTTTTTTAATTAACATTGACTACACTCATAAATTTATTTTGTACTCTAAGAATGGAAAATTAATTGTTATCATTTTAGTTTTAGTAAAGGGTAATAAATTAAAAAACAAACACACCAGACTTTAATGTACAATTCTTTTTTCAATCACTGCATACAAATAGCTGTGTCTGTATACACCTTATATTAGGTTCGCCATTCTGGCGATTTTACTTTATCAGCTAACATTAAAAGACATATTAAACGTTATTATTTTGACCGGAAAAATATAAACTAAGCTTTCAGTGGATTGACAGGAGTTTAGGAACACCTAAACTTTATACATTAACCTATCCGGTATTTCGATGGATTATTCTGGTTGATAGATGATACCATAATCCAAACATACCGATATTATAATAAATTATAGTATTAAATGTTATTTACTTACATCACTAAACGCTCGTCCCCCCTTCAAAAAAACCAACAGTTTATTGGCATACAAATGATATTAGGATTTAGATGATGATTTACGAGTACAACATGTTTATCAAAGTTTCATAATATAAATTATTGTGTTCATCGTGTTATTTATTGAATTATTGAGTAATCAAATAATACTGCAATATGCCAATATGCATTGAAGTAAAATTGTTCAAGGTTAGTAGAAAATATAAGAGACCGCGTCATATAATATTAATATCCGTTTATACAATAAAAAACGTAGACCGTAAAAAAATAAATATTTTTACTTGTTTTTGGCACTCATCTTTCCATTACGTTCAAATAACTCATCGTCGTGATACTTGGATGTTTCTATTTTATCGAACTCGTTTTTAACATCAAATCGCCTTCCCCTAAACCATCTGAAAACAACAAACTACGGTTTAATAAATAATATATGATAAAATAATTTTCAATGCGAATAACACGTAAATTTGAAATAATCAATTTATTTTAGTCTAACTTAACTTAAAATTTGCTTGGAGGAATAGTGGTTTATAGGTAAAACTTGCGTATATAAATATTCAGTTTTTTTTTACAAGGATTTATATTAGTTTACGCTTATTATGTTAATATCATAGAAAAAACAGTTTAATTTAGATTATTATACTCTGAATCATTAGTGTGCATTAAATTATATTATTATATTAATGAACGTTGACATTTTAAAATTTGACGGGTGGAAAGAAATGGCAAGCGGTATTTCGCAAAGTTGTGGTCCAGTGTTCCGTTCGTCTCTCAACTTTAAGCGATCAATAATAGGATGTGGTAAAGGACTAAAAAAAAAAAAATAATAATAATAGCAAGCAATTCGATGAAAGTGTGGTTTTCCAATACGGGACTATGAAGTCCTAGGACCAGGAAAAGGCGACACGAGTGATGGTGGGTACTATAATAAATTATTTTTGAGCTCGACCGGCTGCGGTTAAAACATACAACACAATAATAATATCATACTGACCTCAGTGCCGATGCCGCCTGATCGTACTTGCCCACGTTGTACAGGTGGATAGGCGAATCGGGCATGCACGAGAACAGCAGTACGAACACGACGGGCACCAATGTGCACGCCACACAGAACTGTCGCATACCCTCCAACACCGTCCTGGCCACGTACGCGTACAGTATGCCGGCGCACAGCATGAAGTCCAGGAACACGCCGGTGCGGCCGCGCAGAAGGTCCGACGACACCTCGCGGGCGTAAAGCGGCACGGCCACGGTGGTCGCGCCTACCGATAACCCGCAAATGAATCGTCCCAAGCACTCCAGGAACAACTGAAAACCGACAAACGCGCTGTATAAGTCACCGGGAAAGACGATAGTTCAGGAATTGTCGTTATTTCCTGGTCATTGTCGACGACGACTGGAAAGGACAGGAAATTTCCGATATTTCGTAGTAGCTCTATCAACATTTCCGTATCGTATTAGGCAATGTTATGAATCCGTATCAAGACTACTATCAACACCGCTTTATCGGTGATCGATCTGATTATGAAACAAAGGTAGGTGGTAACCTAAAGTATACTCGTATATGGTAAACCCGGTTTTAGGTCATCATGACCTATTGTAACTGTTTTCAACAGTATATCTGAATCGCAAGAACTTACAAGATACCATTGTAAAACACAGTGTAAAACCAATAGATGTGCTTGTCATGCATCTACTATATTATGTAATTCTAAGTATCATAACAGTTTACCGTGTAATAATAAGGAAGACAAAATATAAAATATTGATGTTTCATAAAAAAAAAAAAATCGATGTAATAAAAATAATGGTTAATCCTAAATGTTTTAAAATATTATAATATATTATTCGATTATTAACTTAATTTTTAATGTTATCATTAGAATTAGGATGTTTGTGACTTAAAAAAGACTAAAAAATATATGCAAATATATCTAATAAATATCAAAATATGCTCTTAAAAAAAAATAAATATGTCATTTACGTTATATTGAAGTTTATATTTTAAAATTTACAACATAAAATTGAATTTATCTGATTGATTCTACGTCATACAAAACGAATTTGTTACTAAATCTACAATGTGCACGACTAAAAGAAAAAATATGCAAAAGTCATAAACATCCTAACCCTAGTTATCACCAAAGTCTTCTTTTACTAGGAATTGTCATCAATGACTAGTTATTGACATTAATTTCTTACTAAATTAGACATTATCGTGATTGACTAGACATTATCCATCTTTTCCGGTAACATATATAGCCGGGGTCGGCAACTTTTTTGATGCCAAGGGCCAAAAAAAATAGTAAAAACAATTTTCACGGGCTATACACTTTATTTTATTTAGTTTTACAGTTAAAATTTTAAGCAAAGGTTAATTTCATTTATTTAAGTTTCGTCACTGTTTGATACCTGTATTAATTTAACGTGGTATATATTAACAAAGTTAGGTTATCAACTAACATGATGTGATATCCCATGTTTTTATACCAATATTATAAATTGTAATTGCGGGTCGCATAAAATCGCTACACGGGCCGCAGGTTGCTAACCCCTAGTATACACGATCCATATTTTGTTGTTAATGCGACTGAGCCAAAAAAAGCGAATTAAGTAGTGCCAAAATATATCCCGGATTTAGGGGAGGTTGGTGACACCGTTATAGGCTGTGTCTATTTCTAGGTTAGTGACCTGGATATTCTAACTTTTTGAAGTGATAAATTGCTAAAAACATTGAATTAAAAACATTTGTCGCCGAAAATAAACTATTTCGAGTAATCACTCGCATCCGTTTGCTTTAAAATGTTATAGACTCGGTTTAATTTCTGCTTGTGATTCGATTTAAAGGAACACATTATATGAGCCAATAGGCAATAACCATATATTTACCTACATATTATTATTATACTTGAAATGTTTTCTTTTTTAAAAATCTATTTTCACGTTTATTTAATGCCAAAAAAAAAAAAAAAAATATATATACATATATATAAATAATGCGCCAAATTACTTTTAAATATAAATCTGATTTGACTGGTAATTCTCCGATATTAGTGTGGTGCAAAATATATTTCACTTATATTGTGTGGATGTTTTATAAATAAATTAGTCGTGATATGCGTTGGTTTAGTTTTCAAGCCAGTACAGATAAGACAACAATTATAAATTTTTAACCTCCTTTTAAAGTATACCGACCTTAGACACGTCAAAACACTTCAGTGATATCATTTTTTTACATAATCGTTACTGAATGTCATAGTACCCTGGGACATGGATTTGCAATTATCGTCGACAAAAAGCTGTTGAATTCATATACCCAAATATTTGTACTTAAAAATTAAATTCCAAATGTTTATAGCTGCAATGGCTGTACTGTAACATATTGTTATACTTATAAAAGACGATCACTGTGTACCATCTTGGTACGAATCGGTCATGAAAATCTTTATATACGACGTAAAAACAATTGTTTTAATTCAAAGTAGTCGATGAAAAACCTTAAAACCTCAAATAATTATGAAAAACACACAATTTAAAATCAAGGACGTTATTTATTGTGTTTTGTAAATAGAATATAACAGTAATATATTATTGTGTAAAATCTCTGTAAACGACATTATGTTTAATAAGAATAATTGTGTTAACGAGTTATTATGAATAACAAATAGGTATCTTCAACTAACAGGAAATAAGTGAGTAAAATTAACGTAACATTATAATATAACGTGGATAAACGTTTTGTTTATTTTACTTGGCATAACGCAATTACATTAATTCTTGAAATAAAACGGCGCATGAATAAATCAATATACATTATGATAATAAACAGTGAAAAATGAGATTTACGTTAAGTAGATAAGTATATCCTTAAGAAAACTAAAAGCCATTGAATTCAACATAATACGGTCGTAAAATAGAAGACTCAATTTTTCCTTCATATTTATTACGTTCCAATTTTCGGTTTAAACATGCGTACTTGAAGTTAATTACCAATACTTATTGTATTATTATTATTCTGGATGACTGTTTTTTCGTAGTTATACATAAAACATATTGCTGTCTTAGTGAAATTGTATAGATAACTAAATTATTAATTACAACTTGTAACATACTATTTGGTAGAAACACAGCAGGTATATATGTTGTGCGGGTAAATTACGGTATAAAACGATTACAAAAATTAGTAATTGCCAACATTTTTTTAAAAATTGTCTTCAACTGTTTTATGATTATTGCGTCAATTATAACAAAAACGAATCTATTACCTATATGTATAATAATTTTACTTATTAGTAATATTATAATAAAATAATCATAAACGACATTATTCATGTAACAATGTTAACTTCCAAATTTGTTTTATACACGCAAAACTCAATAAGAAAGTATATAGGTCAAACAGGATGTATACCTTATAGTGCTTATAATCTCGTTTAAGTATGGAAATAAATTATAAAATGCGATTACTTTTGTTAAAATATAAATTGCTTGATATGTGTTATAGACATATTTAGCATGACAATTTAAATCTGTAATATTTAATATTTTTGCTATAATAATATAAAATATTGGTGTGGGTTATAAATCGTAAATCGTATCGTATTTGAAAAACAGCGTACATTATAGTTGTACATAGATTAAAATAATTGTAAAACCCAATAATGGATATCAGGTTTTTACTTGGTGAAACGGGCGTATGTCATTTGTGCCGCATATCAACTCCGCCAAATTTTTTACATATTTATTCCGCTGAACTTTTCTACATATTGATTCCGCTGACTATCGACTTCGCTGAACTTTTTTACATATTGATTTAAACGCGAGATTAAAAATTGTGTGATTATTTATATAATAATTATATTGATGAAACATCAGAATTTAATCCAAAAATGTGAGCATCATCTCCAATTTTTTTAGAACGAACAACTAACAGTTGTGTATAGTTCCATTCATAACTTAACATAAAATTCAGCAAAGCACACCCAAGTATAATTTTGTTTTCCCACGTATTAAATTTAAAAATAAAAACTGAATCTTAAGTAATAATAAGAGGGCTAAATAATAATAAAACAAGCAAAAAAAAAATTTCGAAATTTAAAATAAATATTTAACAAAATTTTTTGACGATTATTTAAATAAAAAAAATTATAGATTAACTTACGTTAAACTGGTATAAAACTGCTATTTAAAAAAATGAATTATATTTGATTGCTTTTTTTGCCATAATATAATATGTATACTTGTGTATATTTTTCGTTATGGGCGACAATCAATTGTTTTTTGAGATGTTTTTATTTGAAAAAAAAAGCTATGATAAACTGAGTGTGCCTATACTATTAATTAAAAATATACTTTATATAACCAACATAAACAAATATTCGACGGAATCAATCTATATAAACAAATTGAAAAATCGATAATCGATAACCGACAGAACTGATATTAAAACGGGGGAATCGATAAAACCCCGATGATACACTATACTTAGGTCCTGAATTAATTTGAATAGAACTCGAACCGCGCATGAAATATGTGGGTAGACTGGGTAAAGGATATTTAAGTATATAACTTAATGTGTTTAGTTTTCTTACAAGTGATGTAGATTTTCACCAAAATATTAAACTTTTTTTCTGATTTCGAATACTAATAGTATACATTGATAATTCAAATTTTTCATTGATTATATAAATTCATCTGGAAAAATAAAACATATTATAAAAGTATTTATCGATACCTGTATTTTGAATATTTTTGATTCATTAGGTTATAGGATCACAGATAGTCTTAACTCGTAAGCCCGTGAAAACGAAAATAAAAATGTATTGTATATAAAATAAGGGCTAACTAGTAATCGCTATATAGTCGGTAATCGAATGCAAGTGGTCAGATTTTGTCAAAAAACAGTTGTAAGCTGTACATATTTTACTATTTTTATTTTTTCTTTCAAACTAAACCAGCAAAATTTGACAACATAAATAACGGTCATTGGTCATACATTTTTTTTTATCGCGATCTATGTGTCATTTATCATGTGAAAATGATGTCTACACGTATGACTTATCCTCTGAGCAAAGCTTTCGTTGAATAAAAAAACATACTTCAATGACTCAATTCAGACATCAAAACTGTAACACGATATATAGACATACTTTAAAATGTTGTGAACACCGAGACTGATACGTTTTCAAACCAAACACGGGTTAGAGTATAGTTTTAATTTGACAAAGTGATTGAATGTCATACTCACGCTCTGCAACCGAAATAGACAAATTATCCATCCGACTATCATGGGGGCGGCTAGCCAGAGAAGGAACAACTTGCGGCCATACTTTTGACTCAAAAAGCCGGCTGGTAATGCTCCAATCAGCGCACCGAACAAGTAAATCGATATAATCCACGATTCCTGTTCGACGGACCAATTTTCCAAATCTTTTTCTTTCGAACTTCCTTCGGTTGGCGACCATCCTGCGACAACTGTGCCCGCCGATAGTGACATCAACGAGGCTATATACATAATATAAATAATATAAAATATTGACACAATTCAAAATCAATTTTGAATGATTTGAACTTAAATTTCCATGAACTCAAACTTAATTTTATTCGAACCTTTAAACATTTAATCATAACAAATTTTAAAATATATAATAGTAGTACCTAAAATAAATGTTGATTTCAAACTATTAAGGGTTTAACTTATAATTTTTAAATCGAATTAAAAAAAAAAAAATGAATAGTTATTATTTAAGTTAGGACTTTCATGCATTTTCATATTCTTTCAGGTTAACTTTATCGTATGTTTATTTTATTAAGTACACAATACATTATTTTCACATCGTTTGTGATCAAATATTAAAAGTTTTTAGTACATAATTTTGCATATTTTGACATTTTTTGGTTTAAAGGAGAAATTTTTTCATTATTAGACCGTATTTAAGTTTTTACTGTATATTTTGATAAATAATTATTACATATATATTAAATAATGTGAATATGCCATGAAAACTAATTTTTATCTTAATGATCAGTGGATAGATTAGATCTATATTTGCTCTATTATTGTTCTTTTACATATATAAATGCATAGAAAATTCATAAAATAAAAATAATAAAAATAAATAAAAGATTTAAAGAAAAAATGTGATATTTTAATGTAATATGAGCGAATGATTTTTTTTTTAGGTCATATTTTTAATTTTTTGATGCATAAATGTATATTTTTTAATGTACATTTGATAATTTTTTAATTAAAATAAGACATTATATGAACATTTTTAAAAATTAACAACATGTTCTCTTGATAAAAAAAAAAAAAAAAAATTCCAAATTAATCTGCTGTCATACATGAACATTTCGAACTCATTTATACTAGAACTATTTAAACTATTTGAGGTATTTGAGTTTAAGTGCAAATTCGAATATCCATTTTTCTTAAAAATTAAAGTTAATTGGATTTCTTTAAGTTTGAACAATCTATTCCATCAACCCATCCTTAATTTATTTTAATTAATTATATTGATTATGCGGTATCATTTATTTTTTGAAAATAAATACCAGTTAGTAAAACAATATCAGGTATTTTATTGTCCAAAAATATTAACTACAGTCTACAATATTATTTATCTAGGTACCGCTGTGCGAATATATAATTGATTTAAAAATATCTTACCTAGAAAGCATGACAACAGTTGTCTACGATCACATTTTATGTCTTCAGCTTCTTTTGTTTCAATAAGTTTATCATTTTCTTTGAATATCTTTTTAAACATATCGTTTTATACTGACAATTTCAACGTATTAGGAACAGTGGTATTTGAATTCTCTTATTAGAATATAGCCTGAAACATAAAATAATTACAGAGTTACATATAGAGCTTCTACTCGTAAGCATTATTGTATAATATAGCTGTTAGATTTTTAAACTCATGTAACAGTTATACAAATATTACAAATACTCAATGAAAATATCTAATTTTACTTTTCATATATTTATGAGATGCTATGATTTATGATTTACAAAAATCAGCTGTAAATTAAAACTGGCCGAGCCAAATTTTAGCAAACACTATATATTATTATATTTAGTAATATTATACAAGTTGAAATTTATCATCAGCATCACTTTAGAGCGATTGTCTATCTTGGTTATTCTGGAAAGTTTATAAAATAAGCGATCGTATGAATGAAATATTAATTTTTAATCACTGCACTTTCTTACGCGCAAGCGCAAGTCAGATAATATTATGGTCACTATTTTCAAACCACTAAAAATGATTAAAAATAAAACGAAATCGCATACTAAAACTACAAGACTCTGCAAATTGAACAAATGACTTTGATCATCATTCATAATAACATTTACTGAATTTAACCATAAGTAAATGTTATTATTCCAAAAATTGTTAATATTATGGGCTATAATAAATATAATCATATGAAAATGATCGTTTCAACTTTTAATTTAAAAAACAAATATTGAATATCGATCCAATTAAAACACAGTAAATTTGTTAATAAATCAAAATTTGTTTTCACAATTTTTTTAATTTTTTTTTTATTTGTTAATATTAAAATGTTTCAGCACATTAGATGCTATTACAAGTACAATAAATTTAGATTTTAGATAAAATTTAGTTTTTACATTTAAATTAGTGATAATAATGGTATCGTAATACATAGTTATATGTTTGATATTATTATTCGTCTTCTGATGAAAGCTCTTCAGTGTCCGTTAGGAGGATGTCTTGGGGAAGTCGAGGTTGTAGTCGCTTATTTTGGGTTTTTCTTCCTAGTTGATAATGGCGGGCTCCGTCCGAGTCTTTCAACTTGGCGTGAAAGTTTTTAAGTTGGGTTTTAATCCAGATATCTATTAGGGATATTCCAGTGTCATTGTGTATTTGGCGATTTCTCATAAACCATGGTGTTTTTAAGCAAATCCTAAGGAATTTGTTTTGATGAATTTGGATTTTTTTAATTTTAATGGGTGAGGCTACCGTCCAAACAGGGCAGGCATATGTTAAAAGTGGTATAATTATTGGTTTTCACAATAAAAATTCTTCCAACTAAAACTTCACAATTTTTCAAGCGATAAAGTCTAAATCTCGTCTTTTTATAAAACCTACTACTGATACAGGAAACTGTATATTGAATTGTCTATATTTACTTCATATGTTTGATACATAAGTATTCATATGTATTTGTTTAAATAATCATTATTCATTCACCAGCTGTTTTTACGTGTTGGTCATTTAAGGGTGTGTAGTATGTATTGCCACGTATAGCACATAATATTATAGTGTCGAATAAGCAAATTGGATACAGTTTATAAATCAATATTTAATTTATTTCGCATGAATATATAAAATATTAATTTTGTTGTTTAATACTAATATATTTTAAATCAGTTGGTTCATTTTTCGTAATTATTAAGCAACAAACCAAATAGTTTGTTTAAAATAGTTATTTAAAATTATGATCTCAAAATAATCGTATGCTGTGATCATGGTTAGTATAAGATAAGGATTGACCGACAAGTACCATAAATTGACATATACGAACAGATAACTATTAGAATACAATTATATATTTTGATGACAGTATTTTGTAATAACAATATCTAACCTCATTAAATAGAAACGTTTATGTTAACTATTGGTATCAAAAAGAAAGATTTAGATATTACTTTATTTAAATTGATATTTAAAATTTTATTGTTCAAATAGTCATATACTTTAGCATTATTTAAAAGAAAATATACAGACAGTTCAATATCATAGTATATTTTTGTCATATTTTTTCTATAATATTTAATATATTTATATTAATACATGTATATTTAATAATGGATTATTAAAATGATAAGACCCTATACAGTATCAAAAACGAAACACATTGATGAACAAAAATAAAACTAAAAAGAGTAAAAACATAGACTATGATAAGCTTCAAAATCGAGCAATGCGATTTTCCAATTATATGCCTATAAGGATAATTTATTCAATACCTATATGCAATTATAATTTAATTGCATAGTTGGTAACGATTCGAAATATTTGGAATAATATAGTTCAGTAATAACGGTATAATAGTGCATTATTGTAAATAGATAATAAAAAGTACATAGAATAAAAGAAACCTTCAACATTCAAATAAAGACAATATTGATTGGTGTATGGTCAGGTGTTCTTCATTTTACCGATAAATGTTCGGTCTATATACGAACATTAACATTTTTAAGTTTTAGATGATTCTAATAAAATACTAGAAACTTTAATAAATTAAGATCAGAATTATAAACTATCGTGCTTATTACTTATAATATTATTATACTATAATATGACTGTATATTCATACTATCAATATAATTACTATTGACTTGATAATTATTAATAAAATAAACAGTACGATCAAAATCAGTATACCCATACTGTGGAAAAATCTTGTGATAAATTTAAAATAGACGTGATATATTCATAGAATCTTAACAATAAATACGTATAACTCGTATATGTACTATAGTACTTTACTGATGATTGATGAGTGCTGACTTATAAATGATGAATTAAACTTTTGAATACAATTTATTCTTAAAAAATATTTTTAGATTTTAGTGGTTATCAATTTAAAAATAAAACACAGAAATCTTAATACTTAATTGCCTTAATTTTATATTTTTAGCTAAATACCGGAACACAATTGAATGTAAAATAAATGATTTATTGTGTATTGTTATTATATTTTATTTTATTTAAGGACGAACAAATATATTTATGTAGCGTTTCAAAAAGTTAAGATCCTTTACTTATAACTTATAAGTCAGTTAACTCTAAAATTATCAAGGGATATAATATAAAGATGAAGAACCATTTAAAACATATTATAACATAAAAAATAAATAAATAATGGGTACGATTTTTGACAGCACACGAATCACAACGAATGAGCTAGTAATGAAGGAAATGAGTTTTTCGTGTTTTTTAACAATAAATATTGGTCATGTTCTTGAAAATAAAATTGCATATTGAGTTATTAGTTTTTTGTCTATTTTGTACGTACATACAATATAATATTTGAGTAAAAAAAAAATAAAAACATTTAGCGTGATAAATACCTTCAGAAAAATATATTAACCACTGATTACACCGTTCGTGATATTACTCCAATATTCGTCGATCTATTTAATAACGTTTTATTGTGTAGGTAATTAAAACAATGTAACAGTATACTATAATAACTTTAGACAAATAATAAAAAAATCATTATATAATATAAATAGCACAATATAACATTAAGCTGTTTGATGTTTTAACTACAATATTGCGATGTACTTGTTGTCACTATCGATGGAACATTGCGGCTGGTCTCGTACGAGGAAGACGCATACAACATAATAAACGCACGGATTGTACCTATGTCAGAAAAAGAATGAATACATTTTTAACCAGTTTAAATATTCTTATGTACTTTGATTCGTTCACCAATCTCGATTCGGAGTACACCACGAGTATATTATGCTTATATAATAACATAATTAAAATAATTCGTATTACTCATGTAAATTATATGCGTGACCTTAGATACGTTTTGATTATTATTTTTTTTTATCGCCATATCATGCTAGCGTATACTATAACGTCTGCATTGTAAAAATCACCATAGAGTTGCGGGTATTTATTTATTTTTATCTAAGTAAAGATTAAGACAAAAAAAAATTAAAATTTTAGATATTCAGATAAGAGATTACTGAAATTTGAATTTATAATTGTTAAAATAAATAAAATTATGATAAACAATTTTTATGTATAGAAAATATAAATACGATAATTTTTTTAAAGAAAAAAATAAATATTTTATAGTACTCAAAGCCCTTAATTATAGTTAAAACATGATAATTGATTAGAAAACTAGGAAAAGTATAGAACATAATTTTTCAAAACCAATGATAAAACATTAAAATATATGTAATAATATTTTATCTTTTCGCGGTGCATTCATTTTTTTTTTTTTTAATAAAATCTAATATACAGGTATAATTGTATAATGTATTTTTAAATGCATATATATTCCCTATAAACATCTTTTTTTACTTTTTTCATTTTTATATTTATTTATGTAATTATTTGAGTAAATAAAATTTAGTTTGTTGAAAGTCACTGATGGGTTTGTGTACATGTTACTTTTTATATTAATTAAAAAAAAAAAATATTGAAATCCAATAAAAACAGCAATAAAATTGGTTTTAAGGAAACATCTATGTTAAGAAACAAATTAAATTAAAATTAATTTTTGTTTTGTGTAAAATTATTATTACTAAATATAAAATTGGAATGAATAAAATATTTTAAATGATACAACTATTTAACATTTGCATTAAGTTTTTAAGTAGTTAGAAAATAATTTGATAGGTATTTGTATAGTTGTTCCATAAATCAAATTACCGTGTTCCTTGACACACATTGTGTCTCCTGAAAATCAAAATGTGTCCCCTGAATGACAAATGTGTGTCCCAAGTTTTATAATACGTTTTTAGTTTTGATTGCAGAAATAAGTAATAACAACAATTTAGGAATTTCAACACAATTTTATTATAACTTTATTTTAAAATAAATTGAGAATCATTATCAATTTTATACAAATATCGAGTGATAGGCATTTATATTTGATATCATACACTTTGACGAGTCATTACACATTGTTCCACCAAGCACATGTTCCTAGTTCCAATGGACTTTTGTCCCACAAAATTCTTGTTTTAAACTTGGGGTTTTGTCTATAAAGATACTATGTAGGTATTTTAGAATTTTTGAACAACAGATTACTATGATATTATACCAATATCATATAAATATTATTAATGTGTAAGGTAATAAGTATTACCTAAAAGAAAGGGGATTTTGAGAGTTACAACCTACACAGGTTTTTTTTTGCTATAGAAATCTGTCAACAGTTAAATTAATAAGTGTGTCCCCTGAAATTAGATGTATTTTAGACTCTGCCATACAGTATATTTATAGAATCGGTATAAAGTATATTTATACATAATTCAATAGATTTCATCATTTTTTATAACTATGCAAAAAATGTAATTTATAGTTCGGCCGTGGCGTTCATCATGAACACTCCGTTATCGCCACGCACGCTCATTAATAATTTATTATGGTCATTATTAACTATCAGTTCCAATTATATAATATTATAAAAACAATATGAATAACATACAAAAAGCTGGTCCCGCTTCACCGCGTACACCAAAAACCACAAAACAAAATTTGTCAACCTCGTCAACTTCACCAAGTCAAAATGACAAAAAATCCAAAGTCTATGCTTCACCAAATCGTTATGCCCTACTCTCCACTGATGATATTGATGACATAGCTCCTACTTTGTCTTCAACCAATCTCAAGGATGATCCTGTGAACCAGCCTCACACTGAACGAGACATAGGGCCTCCAGCTCCACCTATCTATATCAAAAATATTTTCAACTACTCCGCTTTCAATAAGCTCCTAACAAACATCACCAATCCAAATGGCTTTACCTGTAGGTCAACGCCGTCATACCTCATCGTGCAACCAACTGGTCGCACAAACTTCAATAAAATCATACACCACTTACACGCAACTAATGCTAGTTTTTATTCATACACCCCCTGCTACCTTCGCACATACAGGGTTGTTATGAGAAACCTGCACTTTTCCACCCTAAGTAATGACATTGTTAGTGCCTTGGCTGAGTTAGGACACTCAGTCAAACACATATACAACGCCAAAAATAAAAACAAATGTCCCTACCTTTATTCTTTGTGGATATCTTAACACAAGACAATAATAAAGACATCCTAGATATCAAGTCTCTACTCAATACTAAAGTATTGATTGAGAAACCACACTAAAAGAGACGTGGCCCACCATAATGTCATAATTGTCAATCCTACGGACACACGCGAAATAACTGCTGTCACGAACCTAAATGCGTTAAATGTGGTGAAAACCATCTTACAAAAGAGTGTTCTAAAGATTGACATAGTTCCGCCAAATGTGCACTTTGCACTAAGGAACATACTGCTAACTTCAAAGGATGCCCAGTCTATAAAACTGCCTACAAAAAAACCGTCCATCCAGCCAAAGGATCTGATTCCAACACCTATCAAAAAACCAAATCTTACGCTGAAGCCACCAAAAATCATCAAAATTTACACGCGGAACTCAAAATCACCGACACTCTCTCAAGTTTTATTTCAAATTTAAACTCACTAATTACTCCCTTTATCTCCCTTCTTTCATCAGTCTTAAAAGCACTCACAACTAATAGCATTCTATAATCTTATCAATCAGACAATTCATATTAAAATTAAATTTAATAATTTAAAATTATATTTATATTTATATAATATCTTATCTCCCATTATTCTTCATTCCACAACAACATCACTATTATTTTCTGTTAACCGTATCATTATTATATAAATAATACCTTGTTATAACATGTAATATGTTGACACATTGTAAGTTTAAGTAAATAAAAAAAAAAATAAAAAATAATTTTCAATTTTATATTTTAGCATAGGTTTTTTTAAATTATATCTATAATATATAAATCTAAAATAGTACTATAAATACTTAAAATATTATTTATGATACATATATTTAAATTTAAGAATTTACAGTTTCAAATGCATATTACATATTTTTCCAGGTTAATTTAATTTACCAAATAACTTATGGGTACATTACATTTTTTATTCAAACATCAAAATTTCAAGTTAAATTTAATACATAAGGTTATACAATATTTTTGTAAAAACATTTTTCAAATGTTTTAAAATTTCATATTATCGTGCTACATTTTAAATTAAACAAATAATAAAATAATTAGGACACACAGGATCTCAATAAAATATTTATTTTTACTAGGTAACATAATAAATTTGAATTTTTGCACACTATTGACGAATAACTACTGTCCTCGAAGAACATAATCGATCAAAATCTGACAGAATTAACATTCATACCGATTTTCAAGTATCTATGCCATCATCTGCCCCATCCGTTTTTATTGATCATCGATAATAATGACAATAATTGGTAAATTATAATTTTATATAATAAACGATGTCGAAGTACAGATAAACTCATTAATAAACGTTATTAATATTATAATATTACGATATTCATCAAGTGATTTTATTGTGGTAAATGGTTAATCGCGACAAAGAGTATAATAAATCATCACATGTATAATATATAACTACAAGTTGAAGTGTACCTATCTAATTTTTTTTTTTCAATTGAACTTAAGGCTAGGATCACACTATGCGTTTTGTCGGCAACCGAAAAATACTATCACGATTAACCGCAATCGGGACGATCAATCATACTGTGCGTTTTATCGGTAACCGAATACATACAAATGAGATTAAAAAGCCCGAAAATCGTTTTTAATTTAAATTTAAATTTTAAACTGATTTTTTATTTAAACAAAATGTATCTAATATTATAAGTAAAAAAATAATAAAAAAGTTTGTGTAATTAGAATTATTTGTTTTTATTTAAAACGTGTATCAACTAATTATGCTAATAAATAATTATATACAGTAGAACCTCGATTATCCGGGGTAATGATGGGGAGAGGGTCACACGGATAAATGAAAATCACGGTTAATCGAGACTTTTTATAATAATGAAATTTTAAAAATTTTGATTCAATTGTAATTAGAAATATACATAAGAAGACGTATACATACAATAATGTTATACATACGTCCTACATCCATAATATTGTATACCTACAACAAGTTATTAGGGCTTAAAATATGAAGTTATCGTCAAAAATGTCATTAATACGATTGTCGATATCGAGTATTATGTTTAAAAATGTTCGGAAGAATGGGCACGGTTAATCGCAAACACGGATAATCGAGTCACGGATAATCGAGGTTCTACTGTACATCTATAATATAAATAAAATATAATAATATATATATATATATATTACAAATATATTTTAAGTTTTTTAATTATTTAAATTTAAAAATTATTATTAATTATTCATAAAATTTTCAATTTCAGTTACCGATAATCCGCGCAAATGTGATCGGACAAACTGCATTGCATGTGTTGTGCTTTACATCCCGAAACGCAACCGGACGGTTGGGCCGCCACACGTTGCGGTCGCTTCCAGACGGTTTTTAGTCGGTTCCGCAAATCGGTCTAGTTTGGTCCTGATAACGCGTTTTATATTTAAACCTATTTTATTTTAAAGTGTTGCGGTTCGGTTCCGGTTGATCGGGAACCATTAGCTGTTATAGGGGTTATGGACTGTGGGTAGATGGAAGGTTGGTACAGGTAGGTTGTTTTTACGATTGTTATGATTGTTACGGTTGATAGCAAACACGTATATGTGTGGCAAGGTTTTTAACCACTACGAGCCCGGGTGGTCACCCATCCGGGAACTAGTAGCTGTGGCCGTTGCTTACTCCCAGTCGCATTCCGTGACTGGCAGCAGCCAACGCGTCACACCAAGCCACCTATCTACTTTTATCTATCACACAAACGACACATACTAATTTGATGATACTATAAATGAAGGGAGATGATCATAAAATGCAACCTGTGCAGTTTACTCGTATGTCTATCTTGCATAATCATTGTGCTAATATGAAACATAATGCTGTTTCAATATAAGATTATATAATTGCTCAAGGCCAAAGCACAAGTAGCCCTTAGAACGCTCTCGTCTCATTCAACTCTCAAGTCGGAGAATAAATCGCTGTTTACGATTAAAATTAATTTTATTGTTGGTGTGTAATTTGATATCGTCACCTGCAAGACAATAGTCGTTTTTGTTACACTATGTACAAAAAAAAAAAAAAAATGTACAATAAACATATTATGATAGTAATGAATAAAGACCAGATTTTGCATATTATGTATGTTCATATTTTTATAAGCAATTACATGCAATAAATGGGTTTTCATCAATCATACTTAAATAAATAATATTACAAATTTTTATTTTGCATATTTTTGCATATTTTGGGTTCAAGTGCATATTTTATATAAAAATGCATGTTTTTGCATAATACGTATACACTAAGTATAAATTTAATTTAATTTTATAATTGTATGAACAATTATTATATATAAATTTTTCCACAATACAAAAATTAAAAATATTTTGTTTCCGTATTAGTTGGTAGGTAGGGAGGTTGTCGAGTTTTAAATATGCGCCCATAACAAGCGTTGATGTGGAACGAAGTTTTTCTGCATATAAACATATTCTCACAAATCGCTGTCATAATTTAACCGAGATCAATATGGAATATATTATTGTTACTTATTGTTTTTTTAATATCGAATAAATTAAAATTTTTTTCATTTTTATCATCATTATATAATATAATAATATTGTAGTTTATTTATATTTTCATAATTTATATTTTGATTTTATAACTTTACAATGAATAAATAGCTGTATAATCAAAAATTATTTTGCATATTTTGCGTTTTTTCTTGCATATTTTGACTTTTTGTAGTGCATGTTTGCATGCATATTTTACAATTTAAAATGCATATAAATCCGGTCTCTACTAATGAATCACATCCTCAGTCCAATTGTATTGGCAATATTATTTAACTGGATATAGAATGAATAATATGGAACATAGTTTTACACATGACAAAAATCGTTAAAACCGCGCTTGCCAACAAAAAATGAAAATTATCAATAGTGTGTACGAGTAATTTATTTTTCTACAGTGCGTACGATGTCAGTGGCAAACTTAGGGAGAGAGGAAGAGAAGGACAGAGAGAGAAAAACTAAATGAGCCATTAGCATCTTTCTCTCACATAGAAAATGTGAAAAATGTATAAGTTATTCAACATTAAAAACTTATTATAAGTATAAAAATTTCAATAACTAGCACACTTTTTTTAATTGACAACTATAGAGTATAGACTACATATATTATCTCTAGTTAGAATAACATAATATCATTATCACACATTCACATGATTACGTTATGTTATAATAGCTTATCATTTGTTAAATTATTTTAATTATCGTTGGAAGAATTAAAACAATATGTTCGGGCCGTTCGGGGACAACAATTTAAAAAAAAAATAGCATAAACTTTTATCATATGTATAGAATATAGATATTAACTATTTACGTATTTTTGTAAATTTTAGCACTTGACAAACTTTGCAATGTGAAGGGCGTGTAAACTTTATAAACTATCTCGGTTTTCAAACTTTTTACTGATCAATGGTTGGTAATATTTCTATTTTTAACGTTGACACACATTTTTGCAGTTTTTAATTTAAACGTATTGTTCTTATAAATAAAAATTTTTTTAATGAGAAATTCATTATTTCAATAAATATTTTTAAAAATGATCATTACTTTATGATATTATATAAATCACCATTTTTGAAAAACATTGTATTTTTACGAGGATATTGAATTGAGTCCATGCTACTTTAATGTGTTTGAATTAAGTCCAGCTTATTATCTTAATATCTTTGAATTGAGTCCGTAAAGATGAAATGTCATAACTACCTATACATAGCCGGTGACGAATTTTAAATATTTTTTTATATTCCCAAAAATAATAAGATAAGTATGTATTTGAAATTTGTTTTCAATATCTATATTATGAAATATTTAAAGGTACGACAAATTTTCAATTTTTTTTTTAGTATTTTTCTATAACTGTCAATAAAAAATATTCTCTAGGTAAAAAGTACCTTTATTTATTATTATTTTTAATATTTTTTAATTAATTGACTCTTTATACTTATTATTAAAATTAAAAATGGGACTCAACTCGAATAACCTATGAATATTGGTCGAACTCAACTCCGATAACCCAAAAGTATATGCAGGACTCAATTCAATGTTATCCGTATTTTTTTATCATAATTGGAGTCATAGATTTTAAGTTTTTCCTTTTTACGACAACATACATTTTTTATTCAAAAGTAAATTAATTTTAAGAATAGGTATTTTGTAATTTGAATGATTAATTATAATTTGTATTTTTATAAATAGGTATTTAAAAATTAAACCACCAAAAATACAAAGTTGATAGTACCCAAAAAAATCTTAATCCAATTTTGATAATCTAAAATTAAGTACTTATAAAGCTGTAACTTTTAACTAATTACCAATTATCGTGTATGTTTTAAATTAAATTAAAATATTATATACAATTAATAAATGCATATAACATCATGTTATTCATTTTTTAAGGTATATATTAAAACATCTGGCTTTAATTTTTTTTTGTCGATTTTCACAAAACAAAACATTTTGTTTACTTTTTTTAGGAAATTAAACAATATAAATGTTTATAATTGATTCTCATATTTGACGAGTTATTCGTAAAATATAACTTTGATTAATTGTATTTAATTCAAGTATATACTTCTAAAAAACCTTTAAAAGTCTGTCATATTTATTAGCCCTATTCTTTAGTAAGTAATATTAGATAATTATGTATTTAACTTGTGTAAGAATATTTTTAATGCTTTTTAATAATTTTAAAAGCGAGTTTTTTAATAATTAAATTCACCTAGAGTAATGATGTAGCAGTTAAATTATTTATACAGAAATAATTATTTTAATTTATTATTTAGTCTTATAATCTTATGAATTAAATCAAACGTAGGAAATATTTTTTAAGAATTTTTTTAAAAATATAATTAACTAATTTAATGTTTTTGTTTTAAAGTACTATTTTAATCAGACTTGATTTAACCAAGATGACTTCCAGGGGCTTAAATCTAAGATCAACGCGATTTTCGTCATCATTCCAAACGTTTACAAGATGGTTCCTCGGATTCATTTCTTTATTCAGTACAAACATCAAAGAACCATTTGAGCTAGCTTTAATATCTGATAATAAAAATACATCCACTAGGTAAGGCAATAATAATAATAAATAACGCATTCAAAATTCACAAAAACCAAATATGTATTTTTTAATAATTATTGTTCTTTATACATTATTAAACAAAATAAAATATTATCCTAAAATAATTAACCTGGATATGTTTATTACTTAAATTTGCGAAGACATTTTTAAAGTTGATTTAAATCAAGAAATAATTGTTTTTTTTTTTATTATTATTGAATTTTATCGTGTTTTGAATATATGGTAACTAAATCGCTTCTAAAAATTTAATACATATGCACAAAAAACCCCAAGATCATTGTTTAGTTGATGCAAGGCAATGGAAACTGGTATTACTTAACCTATACAATATCTTTAGAAAATTAAACTTAATTCAAAAATTATAGTCACCCGAGTTTTAAAATTATTTTTTTCTTGGACGAGAAAATAGCAGCATCAATACACACTTAGAAAACTAAAAAGGCTTCAGGTGGTAAGTTCAACTTATTATAATTGCGTACAGTTGCGGGCGCTGCTTTTTTCGCTCTTCCATGTGTTTTATACCTATATTCGTATACAAGACACTTTTTCCGTGTAATAGTATGTAATTATATATTTATATCTGAATCACTAAACCAACCGGCAACCATGGGGATCTGTCTGTTTTTAGTGGTACACCACCGGTCGTCAGTCAAGAAGGCAAGAAATTCAGACAATATGCTGCTGCACTATCTGGTGAGTACTACATAGTACATACACTCATATTATTAAAATTATATTAAATTATAATTATAATTGTTGTTATATAAACAAATAATAGATATATAAATATTAGTTTAAAAAATTATTATTATTTGACGTGATATAACATACTTGTGTTTAATGTTATGCTATCGATGTATCATCCAGTCGTGTCTTCGTAAATTAATATCGGTTATATTGTCAAAACATATAATGCGTTAAATGCTGATAATTAATTGATAATAAATTATTATACTTATCTTGTGAGCAGCTGCGCTTAATAGAACATCGATCGCAGCATTGCGCTTGCCTTAACAAATACGCTCTTTAAATGAACTACAATTTTAGCGTCAACAGATATTTTAGGAAAAAAAAATATGGCTGACATATTGGTTATCCAGAACGCGACTATTTTCCGTAGAATACAGTTATTGAGAATTATATTATTATATATACAGCATTTTGGTGATAAATGTTACAATCCCGTCTGTAAATTCCAGGGTTTAACTCTTTATAGTATTAAAAATTGATATTTTTTCTACATCCATCGTAATGACATAACATTTTATACTAATATTATTTTTGGACAAGACTCGTAAAAAATCTTACAAACTTCCGTACTTACATTAGTATATATTGTCACACCCTGAAGTCTGACAATGAGAGTTCAACGATCTCTTCAAAACATCACACAGTTGAGCAGTAAGCACACATACAAGTATACAACACGTTTAAGTTATTTTAATATTATATAATATGATATGATTTTTCTTAGTGATATCGACAGTGATATCCAGCGCATTTCATAGATTTTTATATATTCAAAATACTTACCCAATGGCAAATCCTTCAACAACTTGACGAAAAAGAATATTTATTTTTTGCACTAAATTAATTTGTCTTAATACCTAAATTATCGTAATACTTAAATGTAAAATAATAACATAATATAAATTTGGGTGAGATGATGTTCCGGATGTGTCAGAATATATTATAAATTCGTAGGTTGATGTTAAATCGCAACGATTTAAAATTGATTAATCGCAGACTTCTAATATATCACTTTCTAATATATCACTATTATTGCTATAATATCCTGCAACTCTGTGTACAAAATTATGACTGGCCAGGTTGTTTCATTGTATATGTCGTTACAGCAACGCTCGGACCATTCGCTGTGGGCACAGTGTTGGCGTGGATGTCACCCGCGATGCCAATGCTTCTGTCCGAGAGCTCGAAGATCAAAGTAACACCAGATCAAGGATCGTGGGTAGGTTCTCTGATCGCCATAGGGGCAATTTTCGGGTCTATACCGGCCGGAAAATGCGCCGATTTATTCGGTCGGAAACCTGTCATCGCCTGCCTCACCATTCCGTTTATCACCAGTTGGACAATAATATACTTTGCGACTGACGTCTGGCAGCTATATGTGGCACGTCTGATCGCCGGCTTCTGTCTCGGCGGAATCACTGCCACCGTCCCGATGTACATCGGGGAGATAGCTGAAAGATCTATCAGAGGTAAACGATTATGTGAAAAACTTTTTTTTTTTATTTATTATTATTGTTGTTATAAGCAATATAATATAATAATATAATAATGTGACTATGTGACATCGAGATAATTTTCATAATTTTCAAATCATTCTACTGTTAACTGGCTACAAAGCTCAAATTGTAAGCCAAGTTAATTGTGCAACAATATTATAATATACATACTATCGTAATGTTTTTTTAATATAACAATAATCGTGTTTTATTTTTAACTTTAGATTCGGTATGGGCGCGTGCATAGCCATTTATAACGCATGTATCACTCTCTGTGTTTAAAAATTCATACTATTAAATATTAATACAATATTATTATAATTGATACTATATCCTATTAGTTCGATATCGTTAATCAGTATTCGTTATAACTTGTAATAATTTTTTAAATAAATTATTATGAAAAATAGTTAAATTAAAAAAAATATATATATATATATATATATATAGTATATTATTTATTCCTGAAAACATGACAAAATTTCTGGCATTTTTCATTGTTTTACATAATTTCCAAAATGTTTGATTATCATCGTTGGTATTTTTATTAAATATGTATCATATAAAATATAAAATACACAATATAATATAAGTATTGTAATGCTTTACCTTTTGTTTACTTTCATTAATCATTATATTCTGTCGTCTGTCACTAAATTTAAAAATGGTTACTCGATTATTTTCTAACCACTTATGATTTTTCCACGAATTCTAATTTCTATTTATCTCACGCTTATTATTATTATTATTATTATTGATTTACATGTTTTTGTACTTTATACATAGTTTAATTATTATATACGAACGCAATATTATTTTATAATTATTCATTGATTACACATAAAACTCTGTATTCTCTTAAAATTAATACACGTATTGTAGTTTATGAACGAATAATATGTATTAAAGCAACATACTATTATAATGCCTACCCACCCATATTTTATATTATTATTGTTTATTGGAAATGAAAAAATATAACTACCTAATTGCACATCAAAAATGTTTCTTTTTACATCCTATGCACGAAAAATATTTACCCTGCAGATTTCACTTACGCAAAACGTCACTTTACATTATACCAACCTTTAATTTTTGTTAGTTAAGTACTTAAAATTATAAATAACAGCTTTTTAAAAACCATAGTTTACCACCAAAAATCATTTTTATTTTCCATTTATGACAATATAATATTATATCAATTATAGTAAAGTTATAGGAATATCATAACTATACTAAGATATACGTACATATAAATTACATGAAACAAACTTTTGTTGCAGGTGAACTTTGCTCGTACGTCCAGGTGAACGTAACATTGGGTATATTATACGTTTACGCGATCGGGCCGTTCGTGAATTATTATTGGTTGGCCATCATGTGTGGTATACTACCGTTGATCTGGTTCATCCTAGTCCTATTTGTGATGCCGGAATCGCCTATGTACCTTTTGAAATCTGGCAGGAAAGAGGATGCGGAAAAATCGTTGATGGTGTTGCGCGGGAAAGATTACGACATTGCTAGCGAGCTGGACACGCTACAAGAACACATCAATGAAGCGAAGAAACACACTGGAAATTTCAAGGATATGATATCATCCAGGGCCACGATCCGTGCAGCAATCACTGTCTTAGGACTACTTAACTTCCTGTCGTGTTCGGGCATAAATGTGCTTATATTCTATGCACAGTCTATATTTGAGACCAGCAACTGCAGCGTATCCCCGAAAGTTTGCTCCATTATCATCGGAATTCTTCAAGTGAGTATCCAACAGAATACTATCTATACTGTATACGGAATGAAGACAAAATTTAAACTTATTAATTTTTTATTGTAATTGATCGAAAATATTTTCCACACACCTATCAAGAATATTTTATTATTAAGTTTGCCTCGTAGATATCAGCATAAGTATATTTTTTTTTTTTTTATTTGCACCATCGATCTTTACTTATAGTAAAGTCTACATCTGTGGCGAATTTGACTTCATATTCTAATAGTCTTGATAAATTTGTTATTCTATTTGAAATTTTTCAGTCATATAAATTCATTTTTTAGAAAAACAACGATTGAGATAAATACGTACATTTTTTTATTCGATAAAAATCGTCTTAATCAGACATACACGAAACTGATTATCGCGTATATTTTCAAAAGTTTTTATATAATAACGGTGATATCCGATATTTAATTTGTAAAAGTAAAAAACAGTATATTGCATTATTATTATATATTTTACGGACGATAGCTACGAACTGCCATAGGATTAATTATGTATTTACTTATTACTATTTATTTTATGTTGAGAATTGAGATATTGTATAATCATACGAATAAATAAAAAGATCACTGTAAATTAGAAACCCTACATATTACGGATGGTCTACCCTGAAAATTATATACAATGACAACGTGGTATTAACTAACATATATCATAGGTCATATTCACTTTCGCGTCCTCACAACTGGTGGACAGGGCCGGTCGGCGAGTTCTATTGCTGATATCCGACTCTGTTATGGCCGTATGTCTCGGCATCCTCGCCTACTACTTTTGGCTGAAGGAGCATGGCACTGATGTGTCATCATTCAATCTAATACCTCTGATCAGTTTGGGTGTGTACATTAGTACGTTCGCACTGGGTTTCGGGCCCATACCGGGTGTAATGCTCGGTGAATTGTTCAGCCCGGAATTTAAGGGGTTGGCGATCGGCATCGTGTGTGTGCTCGCGTCGTTGATCGAGTTTTGCGTCGTCAAGACTTATCAGACATTGTTGAACTACTGTGATCATGGCATCACATTCGCCTTATTCTCCGGGTTTTGTATTCTAGGAACCCTGTTTGTGTGGTTCCTGGTGCCGGAGACCAAGAACAAGTCTCTTCAGGAAATCCAAGAGGAGCTTGCCGGCAAGAAAAAGCCGGACGAGTCGCAAAACGCTTCAGGATCGTAGGCCGTCGGCGTGTAAGCCATAATATAGTAACCACTTGAATGCAAATTATGTAAAATTATGACGTACACGCATGTTATAACTGCACGTAATATACATATATATTATTTTTATTCCCCAGTTAAATAAATAACACTTGCTATAAATAATTATGATATTGTGTTTTCTTAACTCAATTATTTTTAAGAAAACGTGTTAAATAAAACAATGACCCCAGATAATAACTAGTAATGTTTTAGTTGAATGTAAAGTTAAAATTCAAAGCTGTGTTTAGGTTTCTAGTGATTAAATCCATAGTTATTTTGGTTATTTGTTGTTTTTTAAATTTTATATGTAAATGAGTAAGTGTATCAAAACGACATTTTCACCCTATACGCTCACTTTTATGTTATGCTATGTTTTGAATAGCATTTTATGTATTCGTCATGTTTCAAGTCACACTTTGTGGTTTCTTATCTTAATGTCAATTTTTCCTTTTAAAAAAATTTAAAATTTAAAAAACATGCAGTAGTGTATGTTATTATTAATTATTATTATAATGTTTCTAACGCGTGCTCATGTCACGAGAAAGATAAACAAATACAAATGTATTATTACAAATTAGTGCGGAGTCCTAGTTATAACCATCATCTCAGTGACAATTAAATATACATTGAATCTCATTAACATCAATTTTTTAAGATTTCTGATAATAGTTTAAAAAAAATGAAATTTTTATTTAAATATAAGAATATTTATAAATTGTTCTTGATTTTTGAAACACAGGCAACATTATTAGCCATTATTTTGTTTAAAAATAAGGATAAATTAAGAAAAATAAAAGTCATAATAGTAAATTTACTTTTAAATACAAAACAATTTTCTTTAAAGACCAGGAGTCAATAAAGCGATTAATAATATGAATATTATTTCAAATAATTAGGTAATTGATGAAAACATTTTTATTACTGAGTGATTACATAAAAGTCATTTACAGCCAAATAGCCACTTATAAGTTACATACTACAATAAATCAATTGAAAAACACTTTAGAATCAAAAGAACTAATTATTTGGAATAATAAAAAAGATCACGGTAAAAATATATATCCTCTATCGATTCTTTAAGAGAATCAACCTACCTACTGATAACCATTACTATTAAACGTAGATATACTCTATACATAATATGTATAGTGTTTGTAATAATACTATTACTTACTACAACTATACATGCACTGAAAACACTTATATTTTTTGAAACGTTATAAATCATAAGCATTCTATCTTTCTAACTTCTAATGAATCAACGTAACAACACGTATATGCATAATATTCGTCATTTATATTTGTCATTTGAGCAGATGTTGAATATTATTATAGAGTGCGGACTTTCCGTGATCCAAATACAATGTGTACTATTAGTTTATTAACTTAAGAAAAATTCCATTGGACAAAATAAAATAGTTGTTTATAATAAAATCACTAATTAAAATAGTAAAAGTGCAACACTTGTATGGTAGTGTAATATGGACTCAATGACTAAATGTTGTGCCATGGATTTCCTTATTTATTGTGTTCCGGTTTTCCTTCTGCTAGACCAAAAGTCCTACAGTTTGGTTAACGCCCTTGTTGTTATTTTTAAAAAATGAGAATAGTTAAATTATAGTTTAGACTGAGAAAATTTTAATTGTACTTACTAATACTATTTGATACATATTGAATAAATAGAAACTAGATTGTCTAAATTCATGTATTTTTAGTAAGTAATTATAGTAATTGATTCAGGTTTTTACACTAAAAAATATATTAAGTATAGTTTTTGCAGAACCTAAGAATTTAATAATTATTGGGAAACAAATATATGTTTTTTTTAATTTTCAAACAATTTGGGACCAACAGGATTATATTGTTATTGGTTAATTTGGACGATTTGAAAGTAAGTACATAGTATTATAATTGTATTTATGAAATAAATCCTGGATATTGGGTTAAAAATAAAATGTTGGGGCTTGTCAAAAAAAAAAAAAAAATGCATTACGGTTCTTATAAAAACGAATTTATTATTAATTAAAATGTATATAAAATGTAAAATAAACCTTTTTCCAAATAATCTGAACATAATTAAGAATAGGAGTATTATGACTCTCTGGTTATCAGTGCAGCGCAGTTACATTTTACGTTGTACGTTAACATATTATTAAAATTGTATGAGATGTAACATGTATGAAAGTTACTGCAATAGTCAAAAATGTAAATTTTTATATTTTAAATATTAATTGTAGTATCAGAATAAAAAATTTATTAAGGATTTTTATTAAAGTTCTCCGAATTCTCTAATAAAATAAATTATTAACGCCTTCCTCAGTCTTAATAAACTTAAAATATGAATAAAATTGTTATAACCTTTTTTTAAAATCGTTAACCTGTTATCAAATGTAATCTTATTTATAATCTCTTTTATACTAACATTATAGTAGTTATTTTTCTGAAAAAATGTAGCTCTCCCATCACATATCAGATTTATAAATCCATGCCCAACTAGGTAAGTACTAATACGAAGTATTATTATAAGTCGCTATTAACGAGGCAAAACCTATAGATTCCATATATAATATACTAAGGAGTGAAAATATGAAATTGTTATAAAATTTTAATTTACATAAATTAATAATTTTAAGCTCACTAATATGGTGCACTGTACAAATAGGTATAATATAATTATAATACCGTTTTACTATTATTGCTGTAATGTTCGGCAGAAACGTATTTTAGTTATATATTCGAAGTTGAAACAAATCACGAAGCATCTTTTGTATAATATTTTCTTCTTCAGTTAGAAAAATATTAATTAAAACCAATCCTTTTTATATTAACTATATCACATAATAGTTGAGTTTCCTTTAAAATCAAATGATCCCATTTTGATATCCATATAAGTAGATAAATACACTTTATATAGGCACCTTATTACCTTAACGATCTGCCTTTTTATACACTGTACATGGTTTGTTGTTCTAACCGGAAAATGTAGTTATTTTGACTAACATTGTAAATTACGTTTAATAACAATACATTTACACGTTGAAATGTATAATGTATAATTATTTGTAAATTGTTATGTAGTTGCATAAATATCTGAAATATTCTGAAATATCAGAATGGTATCCAAATAAAATTGAAGGAATACAATTTTTTTAATACAAAAGATTATCGGGGCAATTAAGAGTTTGACAAACGTGATGACGATATTTAGAATATTTTCTTAGCCAGTTTTATTTTTCGATAGATTTATATTAAATATTGATAATCATACTTTTAGAACAAAGTAGTTTTCAATCGTAATAAAATATAATAATTAACAATCAATAATTAAATTATTATTTTTAATTCTATAGTTTTATACACTTTATCCAATTTTTTCTAATTAAAATTCAGAATTTTTATTCTTTTTTTCTATACAACTTTGAACACACTTTTATAATGGATTTGACAATGACATGCGTGTAATCCATGCAATGTTATAAGTTATAACTTATAATAGTCGTTTAAAATAGGCAATATATTCTCGTAATATTCTTTCATTATTATTAAAAATAAAATAAAAATATATTAAATTAGAATTTATTATTTATTAACTTATATTATTAATTTGGTTTTAATTTTAATTAATTTTCCAATAAAAATTAAGAAATTTAATATATTGTTCCATGTGTTCCAATGTCATTTTAGTACGGTGATTTGTAAGAATATTTTTCTATATACTGAAAACTGTTCAATATCAACCATTGTCACTGGAGAATACCTATATCTTGTGATTAATTCTTACTAGAAACCAGAAATCATATAGTGAATATTGTATTTATCAAAATGCTGATAAACATGAAATACGTTCATCATACCGATATAACAAAAATAAAAATAATGTCAAATATTCTCTAGCCTTTAAAATATGCTTTTTTATGCAAATTAAGTTTTCTCCTATGAATTCTGTATTTTATGAATCATTATGATATCTCTTATTCCCATTTAACTGCATACAATAGAAACAAATATGTAAAACCATAAAAATCCGACCTCTAGTTATAACAATCGTTAGTCAGAAGAAGAATGAAACATATTTTAGGAATACAAGCCAATGAAAACATTGATTTTTTTTTTTATATATCAAAAAATATTTTAATGATATTATTAAAATAGAACTATATTATAATAATCTACATTGATGTCTTCTCTGGAATATGCTAATATTAATTATAATAATTGTATGTAAATAATTTGTTGTCTACTTAAAACTAATATGCTACGCGTTTCGTTATTATAATAATATACCTATATAATTCAAAGATATACCTAACTATAATAACTAATTATTTACAATTGATAAATACCTTAAAAACTAAAGACATGTTACAATACAATACATATTATTAAATACGCGTACAACTTAAAATAGGTAAATTATGATAATCAACCAATTGTCATATAATAATTATTATAATAATTACTAACAATAACAATAATAATAAATGGCCTGTTGCACGTCGGCCGCGCGTAACCGTTAAACCACGGCATAGGTGCGCGCGACTTAGCAACGCGTTGAAAACATAATTTTCTACATCGCCATCGTTTAAATGTTAAATCTTTTTGAAAAAAAAAAACGATTAACATAAACTAATATAACCGCGATATGCAATGTGAAATATGATGCGTAAATATAATGTAATTTGAAACGTACACTATAAAATACAACGATGTAATATTATTATACATTAATTAAAATCGATAATTTGAACGTAGCGCATGTCACTAAAATGGTAAGGTACTATAATAATTAAAAAATATAATATAATAATTCACAATAATCTTAGGAAGACCTCGTGAATGAACGGCGGAGTCGTCGGGGTCGTACAGTTAAGATGTATGATAAAAATGATCCTAATCTAGACGAAATTAGTAATAATAATTCATAATGAACGAGTGAATTTTAATTTTTAAATGTAGGTATATGTGATAAGGAATAAA